GTTCTATATATATATGTTGCACTGTTTGGAGGAGCATGTGACTTCAGTTTTTCATTGACATGTCTACACCGAAGCCAATGTACAAATGACAATAAAGCCTTGAATCTTGAATTTACGGTATTTTTTAAAATGACAACAGTAATCTTCGGTCTTTTTTTATCATTTAAAAAAACATGTATTCTGTTTTTTTAGAGGTGTATGACTATTCTAACAATTAATATATGTTAAAAGAAAAATATTTAATGGAATTACAAAAACATTTCTTGTAAAATTACAGATCTTTTTTGGCAAAAAATGTGATAGTTAATGTAAACTAACGCTTTTGCAAAGTAAAATGACGGTCTTTTCTTTGTGTTTTACTTGTAAATGGTCTTAGATAGACGGTACTTTTTTGTAATAATAAAAGTAATTTTCTGTATTTTAGCTTTTCTTTATTTTTTTTAAAAGATAATTATTTTGTTTTCTAGAGGATTATGACTATTCTAACATAATATATGTTAAAAGAAAAATATTTCATGTAAAATTACAGTAATAGAGGCTATTTGTGGGAAGGTAAGTTACTGTTTTTTTACATGTTATCTACGTATTTTACAGGTTTTTCCTTTTTTTAACGGACATTTTCCCGTCGTCAGAACATTTCCGTTTTTTTAGAAAACATTTTTTTAACCGTTTTTACAATGTGTTGGAGCACTAGCAAATAGGAGTGTTACAAAGTGATGGAAGAGTGTGGGACAGAAACTGTTTTTTGCCTTTGAAGACATTAACATGCACTAAAACCTATAACACACTACAGGAAAGAGAAAACCCAAAATATCGTTTATTTTCTGAAACCAACTGGCTACTTGACTGATAAAGTCCCTTATTGTTGCCTGGCCTGAATTTATCTGAATCAGTTTGCTATGGAATTTATATGCCATGATATTTTACTACTTTCTTTTCTTTTGTGTCACAATGAGCCTACCGAATAATCAACACACCTTATTTATGAATGCAATGAATGTCGCAGGAAGGCGGGACTGTTTTAAAGAGGCGCTGATTGGACGCTTCCTCCCGCCGACGCAGTGTTTGCGTGGTATAAATAAATCCGAGGCAGCACAGGAGACGATTGGCTGCAGGACTTCAGGTCCCTGCGCACTGACACACACACACACACACACACTCTCAGCTGTATGGCAACATGTCGCAGCACACTCTTGCAGGTAGGAAGACTTTTCATTTCTCACTTTGTCTACTTTTTGTTTGATCTCTGCATGTCGGTTTTGTGTCATCGTGTTGTTTCCTTGTTTTTTCCGACAAGGGGGACACACTGCAAATATTGGACGTACACTTATTGCACGTATTTTGTTTTTGAAAAACCCAAAAACAAATAAGATCGAGAGAGAAGAAGAGTATTTTTGTTGCATTGCATAGGCAGTCTAAACTGAGGCATGCTCTGAGGAGAGACAGGCTGCAAGTTATTGTGAGGGTGTTTGCTTTAGATTAGCCTACTTTGTAATTGTATGAATAAGGACCAAGAGCTTGTAGGTAAATAGGAAAATATAATTCAAGCACAGAGGTTAGAATAAGCTTTACTTTCTGCAAGTAAAGTCAATGCATGTTGTTATTACAGATTGAGTGAAATCTAGCAACATGCAGATGTGGCACAACTCAGATTTAACTCTTTTAGTCCCAGTCATGTTTTAGATTGATCCATCAGCCTTTACAATCTTACATCACTGCTGCAGCCTTTCTACACTTTTCATATAATGTTGGAGGACCTGCCTGTTCCTGTCCCAATAAAAGGATGACTTGCTTTGTAATTTTACATTTGTACATATAATATATATCTTGCAGTGTCTTAAAGGGAGAGAATGGTTCTTATTGGGGCACAACCCTGAGATAATTATCATGTTTAGCTCCTAATTAACTCCTAATTAAGTGCCTAAACTCACTAAGCTGATTTATGAGGAAAACACACCCCGAAGAAGTGATGGATTGTCTTTTATAAGATCACAAACATCCCCCTCTCATTGCTGGTTGTTTACCTGGAGATGGTCCCAGTGTTTTCACCACTGTCCCCCAGTGATGCTGCATGACTCATCCCCCCCCCACCCCCTCAGTTTCTGACATTAATGGACATTGGAGCTCAGCGTCACAGAGTGTTCAAACCCATTTATTTTATTATTTTTAATCACAAATTCACGTTTTTGAAATTTGTGTGAGAGCTGGGAATTAAAACAACTTTTCTAATATTAAATCAAGATTTTAAGATGAGTCTTAATGTTGTTATAGATTTTTTTTATTTGTGTTTATAAGTGTCTTTTTGTTGTTCTGAGGGCTTAATTACAGTTAAGTGATTTTATTGTCTTATTTCTAACCAGACTGGCTTAGCTTTTTTATTATGTATCTTTAATCATTATACCTTTCTAACTGATAATATTGATTTAATAGTCATCTCATTGTTTTAATATTTTGTGAAAGCTCCAATAATAAACCTATTATGAATCTATAAATATTGAAGTATTTGGTTAAAAAAAAAGTAGAATTTCTATTGTCTTAAACCATTACAAGTAAAAGTCTCAAGTGGGAAATGTTAATTAACTAGAAGTACACAGGTAATACATATACTTACAGTATTAAAGTAAAAGTACTCAATATGCATAATGACACATTATATTTTCATATAATATTATATTATCCTTTTTTTATCACTAACATAAACATGTCAGGGCATTTTAATGTATTGTTCGTCAATGGGAAGCCAATTTTAAATACTGGTACTGCATCATCATATCATATAACCAAAGTAAATAATAACTATGAGTGTTAAATAAATGAAGTGCAGTATAAAACAGCACAAAATTGAAATACTCAATTACAATTTTGTCAAAATAGTATTATGGTGATTGAGTATATTCTTTCCACCAATGGTAATTTGATATATAAAATGAAACGTACACACATATGTTCAGAGATGTTTTAGTAAAGATGTTATTGTTGTTGTTTGGGTTATTTTTTCCTGGGAATGGTGAGAGCAATAACGAGTTTTATACATAATACTGAATACCATGTATGATGCTCCAGTGATGAAAACAAACACACAATAATTGAATTAAAGGGAAACTGACACAGATTCATTGCATGTACTCTGCTCCTGCTTTGGATCGAACTGTGACAATCCCATTTATACAATTATGATGATGATACTTCCTCTTTGATCTGGTTAGGAGCGCAGACTGCAGACACAACATGACCGTGTTTGGAGTCAGGCATCACATCAACTCTTATAATGAATTCCCCTTAAATTTGTCTTTACTGACGGGTCAATCGATGCACATAACGTAATACATTTGTTAATTTGCAAATTAGTATTTTCTCTGAAATATAAAAACACATGTTTGAATGGAATACAGAATTCCTGAAAGCCTTACTGCATTATATCCAATAATATTTTGGATTTTAACTGCCATCTGCCATCATAAATATGTCCAAAAAATTGCATCCAAATGCAGAATATGAAGCGTCTCATACTAAAATCTAACGGACCCTCCACTGAATAACTGTCCTGACTAATACTGAAAGGAAACCTGTATTTCCTGGTCCTCATAAAACCCGTTAGCGCAGCATTCATATGTCTCATTTTGAGTTTTTCATCATAAATTGGTGCAAGAAAAACCTTGCCAAAATGCAGTAAAAGATGAAAATCGTCCAGACCCTCCACTAAAAAGTGTCCCGACCAATTTTGGAACAAAACCTGTACTTGTAGCTACTCGTTAAATCCATTAACATAGTTTACAAATGTCACTGCCTTGTGTATCTGCGTTCTCCGTCATGTAAATTGGTGCAAAAGAAGTTTGTCAAAATGCTGGAAAATATGAAAAACTTCCAGAATGTGGCCCGACCAATTTCGAAACAGCCTATATTTCCTGGTCCTCATTAAACCCGTTAACCCAGTATCTGTCTCTTTTTGTGTTTTCTGTCCTCAGTTCACCTGCAGATCCTTCTGGCGGTGGGTCTAGCTGTGTTTTGCTACTGTCTGGTTCTCGGCTGTGTCCTTTGCTGTCGCAGAAAAAAAAGCGTTTCATCGGAGGACAAGGAGGCCGTCTTCCTGTCTCCTCATCCTGCAGAGAGAGTCACTTTGACTCCGGTGAAGCAGCAATACGAGGAGCTGGATGGAGACGTGTTGGAGTTCCCGTCGTCTAACAGCATCTCTTCTCCATCAGAGGACGATTTCACCGCTCTGCTCTTTGACCCAAACCCCAATAACCTGTTGCCATCACCATCTTCTTCTTTCCCGATGCGTCGCCTCAGCACCCCGGCTGTCCCTTGCTCACCTATAAATAAATCCCCGAGTCATGGAAGAGCTTCCCTGCCCTCCCTCACTAAGTTGTGCAAGTCCAAGGGTCGGAGAAGCACCGTGAGTGGAGAAAGCTTTCTGTACAGCTGGAACAAAATACCAGAAACATGCAGGTCCGCTGCAACTCTTACTACTTTTAAATCAAGGCTGAAGACTTTTCTTTTTGCCGCTAATTTTAATTGATATATTCATATCTCACACTGCACTGTAACCTTTATTTTTCATGTAGCCTACCTGTGTTATTTATGTTTTATTATCTTTGCTTTTAAGATTAGATAAGATGGACCTTTATTAATGTGCATGGGGAAATTCAGTAGTTTAACAGCAACAGGGTAAGATTGAAAAACAGGACAGCACAGATTCACACAGATTAGAGATTAATAAAATTCAAGATAAAATCAAAGACACAAATACAATTATATACAGTTAAGTCACTTTAAAATAAGAAATGAATTAAGATGAACATATATTTTGTGTGTTTTAAAATGCCATTTTATAATATCTTTCTGCTGCACTATTAATGCTCTTAATGCCTTTCATTTTTGTAAAGCACTTTGAATTGCCTTGTGTTGAAAGGTGCTGTATAAATAAACTTGCCTTGCCTTGCCTTACAGCGGTCACCTGACACCTCCCAGCCACCAGGGGGAGCCATATTATCCATCCCAGTACGGCTCTAACTCCACTTTAAAACCAGCTCCTCTCCTCCACTTCACCCTGATCTTCTCCTCCACCTGTGGCACCCTAATGGTCAACATCCTGGGGCTTTCGGGGGTCAATCGAAGGCGTACGGGGGTGTTTGTTAGGGCTAGCCTACCCCCACTTTGCCCCTCCCCTCAGCGGACGACGTCCAGGCGCCGCAGCCTCAGCACGGAGCTCCACGGTCAGAGCCTGGTACTGCAGGTGGGCTCTGTGGCGGAGCTGCGGAGCTGCACCCTGAGGCTGTCGGTGTTCAGCCGGGAGTTCTCCGGCCTGAGGGAGGCGGCGTTGGGATCGGTGGAGCTGCCCTGTGAAACGCTCGAGTGGGAACCGGATAAAACTTCAACCTACACCCGGCAGCTCAACCCAACCAGAAGCAAGCTGAAGAAGGTATATCCCATTCATTTGTTGACATAAACTTATTATTGGGGTAGGTTTTGGAAGTTCAAGGAACTGTTGGGGAAATATTTTCCTAGGCCCATAACTTTGACCCAGTTTATCAGTCTGTACTGCACTCACTGAGCACAGGCCTGAGACCTTGAGCTGCTCTCAGTGTTTTGTCTTCCTGTTCCTGCCTGTTGGCGTCAGCTGATAGAGGTGTTATGGTTTTATCTTGTTATGCAGCATGTTGATTATTCTCTCAGAACTACATGGGTCTGGGGTAGAGATCGTGCCATCACAGCTCCTGCTCTCTCTCTGTGTCTCTCTGAGTCTCTCTGAGTCTCGTCTCCTTTGCTTCAGAAGTTTCCATCACAGGTATATCCCAAGTACTCATTAATTTGTTGACAAAAACGTAGCTTTTACAAGCAATAGTACACAAAGGAAGTGTGCTAGAAATCGAAGCAACTTTTCGTATTGCCCAAACGGCGGAACTACATCTTCCGTGTCAGGCCGTGATGTCATTGGGTCCAAAGATATGTTTTCCAATTGACATACATTGGGAAAGAGATGTCTGTAATTAAGTCAACCTCCACCTACAGCCTGCAGCTCAACCCAACTAAGAGCAAGCTGGAGAAGGCATATCCCAATTATTATTATAATTATTTGTTGACAAAAAACTTAGCTATTACAAGCATAAATATACAAAAAACACAAATGTTCAGTAAAGCATATGTAATACAGATATGTAATGCAAATTTGAAGTGGTCGACACGTCAGTTTCTATGTTATGAGCCCATTGAATGGTGGTGATATGTCAAAGAGTCAATATTGGCATGTAGATTCGTATCATCCATGAGAAATCTTGAGCGTACTTGCGCTTGACAAAATTTAAGCTAAATGGAGAAAGATTTAAACACTTGTTTTATGTGGTGAAGTAAAACAACTTGTTTTAGGTTCAGGCAACACAACTACTTTGTTACGCTAAGGAAAAGACCATGTTTGGGTTAATTTGAATGGTTCAGTTTGGGCAAAATAGGCGAACTTCACCTAAAACCTGAAACTTCCTGTTGCCAGTGGGTGGCGCTACGTCAAAGAGTCAATATTGGCGTGTAGTCTTCAGGCCTGGACTCCTATCATCCATAAGAGATTTGGAGGATATTGAATAATGTGCGCTAAAGTAAAGCCCGGCAGCTCAACCCAACCAAAAGCAAGTAGAAGAAGGTATATCCCAATTATTCATTCATTTGTTGACAAAAAACGTAGCTTTTACAAATATAAATACACAAAAAACACGAATGTTCGGTAAAGCATCTACGATACGATAATACTTTAATGTTCAGATCAAGTCTGAAATTTGACTTGCATCACAGCAGCTCCATGTGTAACATCAACAGACAGATATCAAGACACAATACATGAAAAAACTATGGTATTTGAACTTCTCTTTTGGGACACTGACTTTATGCACTGCTCTCCCTGTACTGATGTCTCTCAAAAAAGTTTTTTTAACTAAGTATGCATCGTCAGTTGATTTCACAGATAGGGAAATGTGCAGACCTGCAAATAGCACATATCATGTTTAATCCATGAAGGAATGCAGCGTCTAATCAGCTCTCCCATTAGCCATTTTTCCACTGTTGTTAGTCATGGTGACATTGTTGTTAGTGACTGCAGAGCAAACAACCAGAGTGCTGAAAATTGGCAGCGTGCCCACGCTGTGCCCTCTGAGACTCAGCCAGAGGGCACCAATAACTGACTCCTGCAGGAAGGAGGGGGGG